GACACAACTGAATTGACTCAACAACTGCTCATAGTCTTCCATTTTTCTTCTCTGCAGTATTTTTACAAGTGAGATTAAATTCTAAATTGGCAGCATCCTTGGCTGCCAAATCTCTCTGCTTGGAAAATAAACCAAGTATTTACCAAGGTAGGTTTTAGGTTTTCTTAATTTCTCCCTTATGACAATTGTTTATATTAATCAATCTTCTATATGAAATTTTTGTAATCAGTGTCTGTGAACTTCTTCTGACATTATCATTTTAAAAGCATTAATATCGTTTAAACATGTCAGGCTAAAGTTGTTTCAACTGCATGCCTTATCTTTTTTTTTATTATTATTCTCTCTCCAGGTCTGTATTGATTCTGACATTTGCTCTATAACAAGTCAGTGATGTGACCGTGCTCAGAAAGCTGATTCTAGAATGGCTTCCACACCAATGAGGGACGTCACTTCTGTGGCTTCACTTGGTGCTACACACGTCCAGTGTCGTTCAATTCTTTTCTTGAGTATTCATGAAGATGGGACTACACAGCAGTCTCACCCTCACTCAAAGGTCTGGCGTCTCTCTCCTGTCTTATTCTTGATCCATTTTTTTAAATGCATTTCTCTATTCTTACCTATTCCCACCTTCGGATTGAGGTCCCCAAGCAACAAACTATATGCTGATGCAATTTGGAAGGACTCATTCAGATTGTCATAAAAGTGGTCTATCTCTTCATCCTCTACAAGACATGTTGACATGTGAGCTGCAATTCTTTTCATGACGGTTTTTCTGCAAATACTTATCCTGAGCACTTCAAAATTATTCGACCAGATAGTAAATTTTGTATTTTCTCATCGATTCTCACCTCAAGTCACTTGGTAGGTAGAAACTTCCCTAAATACGGAAGGAAAGCTGAATGAAAAGAAAGCAGGGCATGTTCCAGGTCCAAATGGGACCTAGAATGGCAAAGCCAGAACCAACAAACTAGGAATGCCTCTTCCTTTTTCATTCCAGTAGTGAGACCTAGAAAAGGTGGCGAGGGGGTACCACAGTGCACAGCGTGCTGGACTTAGAGTTAGGAATACCTGAACTTCAATTTAACCTTCCTTCCCCCTTTCCTTCCCAGAGTTAGAAGGCCTAGCCCAAATCCTAGCTCTGCCGCTTACTCGCCGAGTTATCTTGGGCAGTACTTGGGCCTCCATTTCTTCATCAGTAAAATGGGAGTTGGAACAGAGAGCCTCCAGCTCTGTCCAGTGCCAGGACTCCGGGTCCAACTGCCATCCCCTGGCACCCACGTGCTCCTGCCCCACCCTGTCCAGAAGGCTTTACTGAAGCTCCTCCTTTCTTTCCACTCCCTCCATTCTCTCCTCCCCTCCCTTCCTTCTACTCTTCTCTCCTTTCATTTCCCTCCTTCCCTCCTCCCCTCTGCTCTTTTCTTCCTTCCCTCCCTCCCTTCCTTTTGTTTCTTGCTTCCTACTTCTCCATTCCTTCCTTCCTTCTAAAAACACTTCCTCTATTTTTGAGTCTGGGCCTTTGTCTAGGTAGAGAAGTAAAATCACTCTAAGGGCTTGCGGACATTTAGCCTTACAGTGGACCCCTTAGGAGTGGCAAAAAGTTTTCCTAAGAAAGGTATTGTTTTCAGGATGCTTCCTTAAAAGGAAACATTTCTCATCGAGTTACCCTTACAATTATTTTTCACCTCTATTTATTAACAGTTTGTTGATGTCTTGTGTCTTTACATCACATCCCCCCTCCCCCCAGAATGAAACTTCTTGTGAAAAGAAAAAAGAGCGAAGAATCTGATAGGCTATATCTGCCAATATACATGATATTCTCTCAGTAGTACCCCCCTTTGTCCTGTTGGTGGGTGATCCATGCGGCTCCCTCTCCCCCTTCCCAAAAAAAGTCACCCCTAAATCTGAGCTTGCCTTCCAACAGAAGACCGCGGCTCGTGGGGAAACATGGTGGTCTTAAGGAGTCTGGGGGCCATTATTAGGTCTCATTGCTCATCTACAGAGTCTTCTGGAGGAGAGCAGAGAGAGGAAAGGAAGCCGTGTGATACAGCAGGCCAAGCCATCAACAAGCACTTCTTACCTGACTACCCTGGACCAGCCCTGTGCTAGGTCCCC